GGGGGGGGGGGGGGGGGGGGAGGTCAAACTAAGGGGTGTCGAATCAAGAGTCCAGGGGTTGAGCCTTTCGGGCTGTGGGGGTTGAGGGTTGAGGGTCCAGGGGTTGAGGGCTTAGGGCCTTCGGGGTTTATTGCTGTTTAGGGGCCTGCGGGGGTTTGGCTTTAGGGGTTTCGGGCTTGGGATTTCGGGATCCGTGGATCTCTTCAGATGTGTCGGGTTCGATGGCACAAACCAGCTTAAGCTACCGTTACCCTAAGGGTCCAAAAGACCCAANNCCCAATAATTGGGTACTTGGGTTTAGGGCAATACTTTTGTAAGTTAGTCTTTGGAAGAGTATATGATTGTTAATTGAACCTTAGTATTGCCTATTGCTAATGTCTCCATAGACTACAGGTTAGTGTGTGCCGCATTGTAACAGTATAGGACTCAAGGAGTGTGATGACCCAAGCATTCCAGAAGATAACGCCCGCACAAATGAAGACCAAGCCTTTTAGGGTTTAGGGCTTTGGCATTGCAGGGGTTACGACTTAGTCTTTAGGGTTTACGGTTTAGGGTTTAGGTGTCGGGCTTCAGGGTGAAGGCTTAAGAGTTATAGCATGTAGACGATGACTGCTTGTGACCGCAGAGCCGAACTCCTAAACTCATGACCCCAACACCTCAAGAAATTCTGAACCTTGTACCCTTCCGACCCTGAGCCGCAAAACCTCATCGCCCACCACCCCAAGACCGTAGATTCCGAGAACAATTCCTAGGCCTCAAATTCGAACGCCCCTCCGAACTGTGTCCGAACTTCTCAATCGGAAAGAGACGACGCAAAACATAATCCTGGAGAACACGTTCTAAACCTGAGGTTGGCACAACATGTCAAACTTGGGTGTATACTTGGTAATGACTTATCCACATGCGTCTCTAGTCTGAGTGCGTGTATGTATGTATGTATGTATGTATGTATGTATGTATGTATGTATGCACGTATGTATGTATGTATGTATGTATGTATGTATGTACGTATGAACTCAGTGGGTCAAAGTCTCAACAAAGAAAGGGGCCTGAATAATTAGACTACGCCTTTGCTCAGTGGGCGGGGCGGCTACTTATTTGCAATATCAACATCCGCAAGCGGTGCTATTTCCGAAGCCTAAACCCTAAATCTGCTTATTCTGCCCACCGCCGCCTCTCGCGAGAGGTCTAGGGTTGGCAGCAACTGGGCAAGCTGCTGGAGAGGGTTTTAAACTTAGGGTTTTAGGTTTTTGAACCAGGGTGCCATCCTAATTCGCTTTGAACAGGATTGGGGGGGGCGCATTGGCAGCCCTGGTTTCGGATCAAGATCTACATTGCTGCCTACGGCTTACTGTATGGAAACCATATTTCTGGTTCAGGGTGCTTGGGTAAAGCATTTAAAAGGGGTTCGAAATTCCAAAGTTCGAGTCCTGGGTCCCAAGAGGATGTAGCTCATAGGGTTTTGAGCTTAAGGTTTGCGAAAACCGTGAAGGTTCATTCTGCAGCGTCGCGAGGTGTACATAAGCCTCTAGCTACGTCATAAGGTCGAAACACACATAAACCTCAAGACGAAAAGATCCCCGAACGGGGTTTCAGGATTGTAGTAATTCTTATCGCATCCAGGGATCAGCTTGCAAATGGGGTTGCGCGTCCCCTTTATACACCCTACGCATAACCCTGCTTTACTACCAAGTCGCCTCATCCCTCAACCATGACCATGGAACCCAAAGGGTCCAAAGTACCTATATAGTAGAATGTAGGGTTTAGGGTTTAGGGGTTTCTATATTAGGAGTTTTTATTCTGATTTGGGACACTATCCGCCATAACAGTACGTAGGACCCTTTGTGAAAGCCCTACACCCACACCCTAAGACCCTATTTATGTTAAAACTCTGAAGGCGAAACAGCTCAGGCTCAAACCACAAATTCTGTGCCCCCGCGGCACATGCCCTGAAACCAACAAGAGTCTGCCGTCTTCGCTCGAAGCCCACCGCCTTGCAACCACTAAATCCGAACGTGGGCACACATAGGACAAAAATACTGACACAGAGTGATGACTAAAGCAGTGATCCTTGGGGTTGCTGAATGATCTTGTCATGGAATGTGGCCACAACCCTATTCTAATTGTTAAGGCCTCTAACTCAATACAGTAGTACCTCCCCTTCCACATTGGCTATCAGCTGCCGCTTCAGGGTGAAAGATTTACAGCGTCCATGGAGGTCGGTTGGCTGTTGTTTTGAGCATGTTCACAAGGCATCAAACCTAGACTACCTAAACTCTAGAACCCTAGACCGCTGAAAGCCTTCAGCACTCATCCCCACACACCCTAACCCCAAAC